TTTTGGAAATATATACTGGTAAGGGTTACACAACATTGTGAATGTAATTAATACCACAGAATTGTACAATAGAAAAAATGGTTAAAATGGTACTTAAAAAAACAAAACCAATGGAAAAATACTCAAAATATAACCATATTAAGATAAATATAGAAATATTCTTAAATGGAAAAAATTAATTATTTTGTGCTTTTAGGGAGATTAAAACTCCAATTTGCAAAATTCATTATATAAAAACAATTTCCAAAAAATGTTCTCAAACAAATAATTTAAGGTAGCAAGGATCAAGAAAATGTATACATAATTTAGTTAAGCACGGTAACATCATAAATTTTTTATAATCAAAACCTACCAGGGCATTTTCTTTAATTTCAAGATTCTTGAGGGCCACAGCACCTAAAAGAGATTATTACAATAAATTTTAAATATTCAAATAGGTTTTATTTCAAAAAGTTAAGTATGCTTCATTTCTAAATGTCATTTTAAGGAAAAGTAATCATAAATAATGTACATGACAGAAAATAGAGTCTACCTATGATCTTACTTTTGTTCTTCCACATAATCTAAGATAATACATTTGACCAAAACTTCCCTTATTGCAAAGTTTTGACCTCTACAGCTCAATATTAATATATGCAAACATTTTAATCAGAATTATCAAATTTAATCATTTAATCATTCCAATGAACAGTTGGGAAAGAAATATTAAAAATCAAAATAAGTTCACCCTAAGATATGTAAATATAAACTTCCCAAATTCAAATGCAAAAAGAAAAAAAATGAAAACAATAACAATAGAATGTCCAAGAACTGTAGGACAATTATAAAAGTTGTCACATATGCATAATGGCAATACCAGAAGGGGAAAAAAAATGAAGTAATAATAGCTGAGAAATTTCCAAAATTAATGATAAAGACCCCACAGATCCAGGAAGCCCACAGAATATCAAGCAGGATAAATACCAAAAAATCTACATCTATGCATATCGAAATCAAACTAGAGAAAATAAAAGACAATCTTGAAAAAGGAGAAAGAGAAAAAGAACACACCTAAAAAGGTACAAGTATGAGTATGAGAATTACATCATATTCTCTTTAGAAACCATGAAAGTAAAAAAAGAAACAACTAACTTAGAATTCTGTATCCACTAAAATTATTCTTCAAGGGCTGGCCCGGTGGCGCACTGGATAGTGTGCCGCTTGGGAAGCGCGGCGGCGCTCCC